TGAGCAATTTATCCTTCTGCCTTCATGAGTTCTGTGAATTTTTTCTTGTAGGCTTCTGCAGTGGCCTTGTCAGAACTGGAAGCCTTACCATGTTTCATCATGCTATGGATGCTACTTCTCTTGTGAAATTTATCAAAGCACCCTTCACTGGCTTTAAATTTATCACTTGTTGCATATATAAAGGGATTTTCTTACAATAAATCACTGTGCAGTTTCCTGGCTTTTTTCATGTATCATGGCTTCACTAATGCTATCACCTGCCAACTATTTCTTATTCAACCGAATTAACAAAGGTATTTCCACCTCTTCTAGCACTTGTGTTCTCTGCTTGGTTAATACTGTTATTCCTTTTGCCACATCAGCTCCTTTGACAGCATCTTTATTCTTCAAAATATTGAGATTGCCAACTTCACCATCCTGTTCTCTGAGGCCAAATCAGTCACATGAATACCATGCTCATGCTTTTTTACAATTTCCTCCTTCAAGTCAATGGTTGTTTTCTTCAAGCTCTGTTTCTTACCAATCTTGCTCTTTCCTCTTACCTTCCTTATTGCTCTCACATTGTTTTTACCTTTATTATCTCTTTGCATATTCTGCTTACTTCAATACTACTTTTACTTTCTTTTTACCACCATGTTTGCTCTGGACTTTCTTTTGAGCCAAGCTGAACTGAATAATACTATGCAGTACTCTATGTGCTAAAAAGCATGCAAACAAGCTTCACAACAAGTATTCACAAGTGTTTCTATGACCATGTTCCCAACTAGAGGAAACCACGACCATGTGTCACAGCAGGGAAGGTGACCACATTTGTGTTCATGTGGAGGAGATGGTCATAGTCATGTTCATCACCCAATGCAGAGGAGTTTGCAAACAGAAGCAAAATGTTACAGAAGTGTTCATGAACTGAGGTATTACCTTATTTTTATGTTTGCTCCATATTAATCTGCATCTATAATGTTTTAATTTTACAGAGTGGCCCATATTGTGTGTATTGTTATGTAAGCTCATTTTTGAATTTATGCATTTAAAATGTATGCATATTTATGTATGCTGATTCTTTTTTAATCATTGAATGATGACATCATTTTAATGACTATAAAGTTACCCACTGAATAACAGTAAAATTTATTGATTCTAATCTCATTTACATTTTGAAATGAAGATAAACGTTTATTTTTAAATCTACCCAAGCATGATAGAAACAGTACAGGAAGAACTTAGGAATATTTAGGTACTAAATATAATGTGGAAGTAAACATAGGTAAGCTCAAGATCCAAGCAGAAAGTGCAAATAATACTAATTTTTTATTCATTCTAAATATATGCAATTATATAAGTAAAGTATGCATTTCTTATAAATATAGAAAACAATAATTTGGTTGCAACACTAATTATTACTAGTAGTTGTTACTCTTTATATCAAAAATGTCTGCCTAATTTCTCTCATGATTAGATTATGCATATGCTATTCTCATCATGGGATTCATTCATTGATGAGTTAGTTCATTAGTTCATGTGCTGCTAGGACAGATGGGTTGAAGGGATGGATCACTGAGGGGAGGACCTGAAAGTGTGTATTGTTTTTCCCGGCTCAACTCTTCTTCACTCTCTGCTTCCTGGCTACCACAAAGCGAGCAGGTTTGTTTGCCATGCCCTTCCACCATGCCATTTTTGTGTTGTAGGCTGCTTGGCATGGACTTAAACACCTAAACTGTGAGCTGCTAAACAAGTCTTCAAATAGTAGGAATCATGTGTTTTTTTTTTTTCCAGCAATGGAAAACATGACTAGTGCAGAAAATTGGACAGTAGGTTCTATTGCTCTGACTGCACCTGATATGTGGTTTTGAAATTTGTAGAACTGAGTTTTGGGAGGACTTTAGACAACTTTAGAGATACGGGCTAGAGAAACTCTAGAATGCTTTAAGCAGAGCCTGGTGAACGATTCTGGTAGGAGCTTGAAAGACCGTAATGTTGACAGCAATGCAGACAATACAGACCAGGCTCAGAAGGTTCCAACTGAGAAAAAGGACTCCATTGGCAACTGGACTAAAAGGCATATGTGTTATACTGGGGCAGGAAATTTGTCTATATTTTGCCAATTTCCTGTGTCTTTGTGGGACACTGAGATTAACGGTAGTGGACTAATTCATCTGATGAAAGAAATTTCAAAAAAGCCCAACATTCAAACTATGGCATATGTGCTGCTGGATGCTTTTAGCAAGATTTATAATGTGAATTAGAAACAAAAAGTAGACTTGAAAGATGTGAAATGTTTTCCATTTTTCCAGAAAGGAAGTGCCTACAAAACTGAGGCCAAGATGAGTGTGATTCCTGAAAAGATCAACATTAAAAAGAAGCCAAGTACTTTGCCTCAGGGCACTAGGAAAGATGTCTTGAAGGCATACCAGGAATTGACCAGATCCCACGTATAAAAGGCACAAGGGTGCAAAAGAATAATCTTTGAAATACTTTGCCTTAAGAAGAGAGCTCCTGGGCATCCTGTTCATATAGGGCCACCTAGGAAAGTGCTTCTGAGAATTCATCACCTAGGCACACAGAAGCCTCTGCAAATATGAACTAAGGGAGCCAGGTTGCTTGAACCTGAGTTTTTAACCACACTGCTTGTTTTTCAGGCATGCAGAATACAAAAATTGTGGATTCATGGAAGTGTCTACCCAGATTTCAAAGAAAGACCTGGAAGGTCAGGCAATATACCCCTTTTAGAGTGATGCATAAAGTTGTGAAAGTAAAGCTGAAGGAACAGCAAGAGGTTGGAGATGTCAGGAATGTGGAATGTCTGCTGGGAAAATGTGCAGGGAAGTTATAGAGCTAGTCTAAGAAAGGCTGTGTAGGCTGCAACTAGAAAGGCCATGGGGTGGAGCCATCCAAGATCTTTGGAGCTCATACCTTACCACAACCTGACCCAAATGGTAAACATGGTACTGTACGATTTAATGTTTGCACTTCTGGCTTTTGGTCTTGCTTTGGTTATATTCCTACCCCTCCCTTTTGGAATGGAACGGTTTACTCTGTGCATTTGTATGTTGGAAGTACTTAATGTTTAGAATTTTAGAGGTGCTCATAGCTAGGAGTTTGCCCTTGGACTTCGGACTTGGACTTTGCAGCACTGCTGAAACTGTTAAGGCTTTGCTCTTACAGAAGTACTAGACATATTTTACATAATTAGATGAACATGAATCTTTTAGGGCCATGAGTGGAATATTATGGTTTAATGTGTCCCCCAAAGTCTCAGCATATGTTTGGAAAGTGTTTGGGTCACATGGGCAATACACTCAGCTGTGGATTCATCCATTGATGAGTTCAGTAGTTCATGTATTCTCAAGAAATGAAGCCTGGTTGGAAAGGTGGCTCACAGGGGACAGGACCTGAACAAGTATATTCCTGTCCCTTCTTCTTTGTTCTGGGCTTCCTGGCTGCCACGTGGCAAGTAGCTTTCTACTTCCACACACTTCTGCCATGCCATTTCTGCTTTGGATCCAGCCAACATGGAAACCTCCAAATCATGAACAAAATTAAACCTCTTCTCTTTTAAGTTGTGGGTATCAGGTATTTTGTTGCAGTGATGGGAAAGCTGACTAATACAGTAGTATAAAAACAAATATATAAATGTAATATTTCATTAATAGCATGTAGCAAATTCATATATCATTAACCTCACATTTAATGTAAATTTTATATCTTTGGCACACATTGAGTACTAAAATATTTAAATTAGATTATCTTTAACCTATAAACCAAATAAACAAAAAACAACATGATATGTTCTTAGAAATAAATTAAAACATCATGTAAATAATGATGTAAATAATATACTAATATTTAAAGTTAAACCTACTAATTTGTTGTTTGGTTGTCAATTGTACTTCATATTTTTACAATTGTAATCTGTTTCTTTCTCTGTCTCTGTCTCTCTCTCTCTCTGCACACACACACACATGCACACACGCACACACACACACAATATTGCTGGTTGGTTGGCTAGATCACTCTTACTTACTTACATAACTGCATTGCTCTAATGCATTGTTTGTGGCCACCATTTTAATAGATGTTCACCTCCTCTTCCATCTACGTGGTTTCTTAATGGCTCTTCCTCTCTCTAACCTCACACTGCTTCAGCCTATTCTTAGACAGATGTTAGTGTGTCTAAAACAAAAATCTAGTTATCTATCTTCCACTTAACAAAGCTTTGATACTTGTTGTCTTCAGGACAAAGTTCACACATCTTAAACAGTTGAGCCAACCATGAAAATCCACTGTGGCCTTCTCTGTGCCCATGCATCCCATCCTAAGATGAAGTGCCTCTTCCCTGCTGTGGATGAGTCCCCCCCATCAAGAGATCCATGTATATGGCGGTCTTCGGACTTATCTGTTCCCCGTTTTCCCAAGGTAAATTTTTGGTCTTTCAAGATTTAAATAACTCTTACCAATATTTTGAACCCACAATTCTCCGTCCTAACAGAATTAATTATTTTCTCCTTTTCATGGTTGTTATGGTTGAAACTTCTAGTGAACAGTGTTAGCTGTGAAGATTTTTAGTGGCTCTTTCTATACCACTAGGCTGTAGACTTCCTGAGGCAGCACTTGACCTCATTTGTTGTGGATGCTACACCACCCAACACAGTATTTGGCACATCATAAAATCTCAACAAAGAATATACATGAATAGATAAATGATTTTTAACTTAAAATCTAGATAGTGTTTTATATTTATTTCAGCACATTTATACTTCCACAATTAACAAATTCCAGTGTGAAAAATGTAAAAGAATATTATCTCTAATTATGTAATTTTGAAACATAGACAATTCAATACATTTTTTTCTTACCCAAACTTTAGTAGGTATATGCTTTGCTCTTGGTATTATTAATACTATTTGGAGAAGATTCATCTACACCTATCAGATGATATTTTTCTAATGGATTGGTTGGAAACATGCTCATTTAGCTGGATTCAGAATTTGGTGATAACTCACCTATCCACCGCTATTGCAACTAAAGTAAAGACTGAAGCTGCGACTGATATTCCCTGGACCAACCCACTGGTCTTGCACATTGTACTTCCAAACGGCCATCCTGGAAAAGAAATGCAGTATTTGAAAAAAACACTTTTTTATTGCACTGAGAATATGAATGGAAATATGTAAAATAAAAAATAATGCAACTTTTTTCTTAATTGTGGCCATACAATGTCTTCCAGTATTTTCTCTAATTTCTCTGGAGGCCCTTTTACTCAGTACACTAACAATAATGTCAAAACTTACAATTACTACAGTCCAGGCACTTCAATAAGTGCTCTAAATGTATTTCATACCTAACCCCTATGACAAGCTTTTGAAGGCTTTGGTATCTTCAAGGTATGTAGAGCCAGTGTAACAAGCATAAATATTATGTATCTTGCAGCAGCTAGTTAGTCACATATTAAGGATTTGAACTCAGGCTATAGGTTTTCAGAAGCCATACAATTAACCCTTATGTGTTAATACCCCATAAATAAGCAGTGGATGTTGGTTTTCTAATTTGGAAATATGCTCAATTAATCAGGAAGAATCTGGAGTTATGTACACAGTTAATATGCAATATTCATTTATACATAATGTGATAAGACAATTGACACCATAACTACTTCCAAAATGAAGAAAACTTTGCAGTAAATCATCTAAAAAACGTCCCAGTGAATGGTTTAAACTACAAAGCCAGGAATGGTCTAACCTCAGCCTCCAAGCACAGGGAACTTCCAGCAGGGACATAGTACTACACTATGAAAAACAAACCACTAAGTAGTTGTTATGCAAAGGAAGCCTCAATTATAAAAGAAAGGGCCTAAAACTATATTACTAATGAAATCAGAGCTACAACACATTTTATTCATGAAACATGCATGATAGTATAATAAACAAAAAATAAAAATAGCATAAAGAATTTAAGATAGAACAGAAATAAAATCAATATGAAATTGAAGGAGAAAGTTGATAAAGTCTTTGAAATTGGACAATAATGGACATAAAATGGAAGAAAAAATATGAAGAAAGGGAATTCAGAATTGTTAGTCTGTGGTTAATATAAGTAGAAGAAGGAAAATGAAAAGAATTCTGCAAGAAAATCCCCCAAGGTTGGAGGGCATTTTCTGACTTAAATGGCCAGTGTGTGTCCAGTGCAATAAACATAAAACAAAAAGACTTCCTGCAATGCCTATTTCTTAGAATTCAGAAAACTAGAGATGAAAAGTATATAAGATTTTATGGATAAAAGATACAAATCATGAGTGAAAGCTGTGAGTCAAATGGCACCAGATTCTTCAGCAAGAACTACACAGTTCAAAGCAGTAGAAAAAGAGCAATCTTTTTAAAATTTGAAGGGAAGAAATTTCCAACCTAGATTTCCTCATACATCTAATTATAATCAAGTGTCATGGTAGAATAATGATTATCTGCAGACACACAAGATCTCAAATATGTTTTATTTCAATGTCCATTTTTCAGGAAAGAAGAAACTAAGAAACAAGCAGAGACAACATCTAGAAAACAAGGGTGGAGCACAGAAAGAGTGAAAAGGAACTGTTATAATTCACTTCCACAAGCACATCTCATAGAGTATTAGCTATATTTAAAGGTGCTAACATGAAAGTAATACTCTGTGGAGAGAATTAAAGGGTACCTTACCAATAAGTACAGCAAATCTAAGCAAATCAAAGCATGATTGATGGAGCCTGGACTCCACCAGCTCAAATAAGCCCGTTCACCATGCTAGAGAAATGCAGGTTTCATTTCAGTTAGGTCACAGAGGACCATTAGCAAGCCACACGCCTGGTGTTTCTCCGATCCACCCCCTCAAAAGCCCACCAAAAATGCTATATAAAGCCTCTTAGTCTGTTGGAGGCACCTTCTCTGCCGGGCTTGCACAGAGAGACTCCTGTCAGATTTAGAAGTAAACTTGCTTGAACTGTTGGGTTCATGTCCCTCTTTTCCCACTCAATGGTATCCTCAGTAAATCAGGAAACAATTATTTTGCCAGTGAAATTGATATCCAAGCACTTCATTGCTTTTGCAGGGATAACATACATACAAAATGGGAATATATACTCTGGGTATTGGTTTAAATTACAGCTATGAGGCTGGGGGTGTAGCTCAGCAGCACAGTGCCTGACTGACAAGCGCAAGGTCCTGAGTTCGATTCCTGGTACAAAAAAGTAAATAAATTACAGCTATGGTATTGTTACATTGGTAGAAAAGGAGGTGAGGCATATGAACATACACTTACATTTACACAGTGGAAATGAATTGTAAGAATACATTTAAATGATCTATATTTGAAGACAATATAGGGAAAGCATGTTACTTAGAAATATGGTCAAAATTACCAAAAATAAAGACAAAAAGTGCTGACAGTAGCTGCCATCTAAGAATGAAAATCAGAAGGTAAGGCAAGGGTAATTTGCATGCAAAGAAGGAATTAAAATGTGTTACGTACCTGTAAAAACTCTGCACAAGGAATGTAAGCAATATGTACTGCAAACATGTACTAACACAAAAAAATATATTTAGAAATGTTCCCAGGTGAAAATATTGAGAGTAGTTCTTGGCAAAGTGACTTACCTGAGAAGCAATGTGCTTACCAATTCTTTCAAACATTTTGTCAATCACAATATCTTGAGCATGCTATCTCCTTAGTAAATACTTGTTTAATTATACACATAGTAAAAATTCAGAGATTGTATGGTGCATGACTGATAGGCTAAACACTCTGAATTCTCTTTAAGTCCTATTCCAGAGAAAGAAAAGAAGCAGAGAAAAACTCTGGAGACAAACTTCTCTTTCAGTTCTTTGCCAAACTGATATTGAGAGCTCTGCAAGGATAATAGCTAGGATATGCTTCATGCTGCTCTGATATATTTATTGGGCCATGATTAATTCATTTTTCAGATTGTAATGTGAGGATCTTGAGTACTATTGATTCATATATACCACACATATTCTACATGTCAACCTCTCCTGGGATCTGGAAATATGCTGTCCCTGTAAATATTTCTGTGCCTTGCAGCACAGAAAGTAGTGCTAAAGCTACAAGAATGTGGGCCCAAAAGTACCACATGGAGGCATCCTAAACCCCATGATGAGAAATGACTTACACTGTACATGTAACTGCCACATTTTGAGCAATCATTGGAACTGCTCTATCTTTCCTCAAAAACTATTAGAAACCTTCCTTACTAACTACAGCAGGGTCTCCGTGTCTATTTACATTAGACTAAAACTTCTTTGAAGGTATGGTGGAATCACATGAACATTTCCTTTTATTTTATAATCCATAATATACTTAATATTTCTAGTCTGCTACATGTGACTTGTTCTCTATTAAGGAAATTCAAAGATTCTGATAAGAAGTGCTAGATCTCATTCTTTGATGACCTTCACTAAATTCTCTGTAAAAAATAAACTCTACTATCTCTGTAACTTGCTATTTTTCTTGGTAAGTACTCTCAAATTATATGAATATTTATTGTCTAACTCCTCCTTGAGAATGTATACCTCATGAAGTTAAGTACCTGGAACAGTTTTTGGAACTACATGAATATTTGTGAATGAATTAAGGATCCTGCCCTGGCTACAGTGGTATCTGGCATACACTTTTTCATATCATCTTTGCATTGTAAACAGTTCAACATACCTGCTATGATATTGTCCAGCAGTGTTATAGGCATGCAGAATATGCCAACTAGTAAATCACTTATTGCCAGGTTTAAGATGAAAAGATTAGTGACTGTGTGCATATGTTTGTTCCTTGCTACGATAAAGCAAACCATGATGTTTCCCACCATGCACAGGAAAAAGATCACAAAGTAGGAAATAATGAAGATCGCTGCCACTTGAGGCTGGTGCAGATAGTAGCTCACATAAGTAATGTTAATGTCTGAGACCAGATGATGCTGTGTGTCATTGACACTCCAGATGTGATTCCAGTTTTCTGAAGAGTTTGAGTCCCATTCTTTGCTCATGATGGACCTTAACAAAGGAGAGACAAAAAAGAAAAACACAATTAGAAACAAATAGAACATTGTTCTATGCTTCAGTTTAATGAGAACACTTTAAAATATTATTGAATTCTGATGGATGTGTGACAGTCCATCAGTTTTGCATGAAAGTGAGTCATAAATAAGGTATTCAAATTACTTGGATTTTAATTAAAAGCATTTGAAAACACTACTTTGTGTCATATATGGCAATTACTAGTGTATTTTATTTCCTGATACACTTCTACTGTAACCTGTCCAAGCCAATTTGTCTTTATAAGGCTAATTTACATACCTCTAGCTATTCTGATAATCTGAATATGATACAGAATCTGAATTTTTGGAACACCCATACAAATAAGCTTCTTGTACTTATCTTACTCTACTTGGATTCAGTTAATATTCTTTTTACAAACGTCTATATGCAGACATAGCCACTATATTATTAATATCTTAAAATCATGATAGGCTATTCACTCATCTCGGTCTCACTTAACATATTTATATTCACAGAGAATGCATTAGTAAATTATTTACAATCCAGATATCTTAATGTGGACATTTCAATCAAATGTTATGTTTGAGAAGCATCCAAGGCCACTCTCGGGTTCCAACTCAGTATATAGTGCATTTACAACTTCTATTTATTATAGTAAAGGACATAGAACAAAATCAGCAAAGAAATAAGGCACATGGGGAGAAGTAGAGAAACCAGACACAAGCTCCTGGTTTTGCATCAGTGGAGTAACACAGGACAAACTTACTCCCTATAGCACGGAGTTGTGACAATGTGAAGTATTGTCTGTCAGGGAAGCTTATTACATAGATGTACAGCACCCCAGGTTTTCAGTTAAAAATCCCTGACTTTCAAGTGGAAAGTAGATATTCAGTGCATATACAAGGTTGTTTGTATAATCAAAACATATTAAACCACTTCATCTCTTAAGGAAATTCTGTATCAGTATAGAGAACAGTACTGTTTAAGTTCCCAGACTCCTACCAAGGGTCAGACTTGCCTTTCCGAGGATAGTAGCCTTTAGCTTCCTTGTTAACTCTCTCCTGCATGGATTAATTGGATACACAGTAGGTTATATGTGCTCATAAGTAAAAAGTGAATTTGCAGTGTATTTACACAATTAAACTCCCATATTTACATTTTTGACAGTTATTTTACGCAACTTGGATTGGAACAGATAAATTGAAATGTGTCTGCTGCTGGTCCTAGTTAGTAGAAGTTGGAGGCTTTTAGTGACCTCATTTTCACCTAGCATTTTTTATCTTCCACCGAGTAGGATTTGTATCATTTTAGATGGGTGGGTTTATTCTCCAGATATTACAATAAATATTAAGCTATGTGTTCATCACTTTTGATACTTTGACTTTGGGAGGTTTTCTCTTTGTATTTTGAGGATGGAGAAGGTTAATATGATGGTAAATTGCTACAAACAAGGTAATAAAAGGGATCATTTTTCTCTAGTAGCTTTTGTTAATTTTCTATTAATTTTTTCTAACTTTTAAAAACTCTTTGTTCTAAACCTGAAGAAAAATACAAATAAGAATATGGAATGGAGTAGGGGCAGGCAGAGTAAAAGGAAGCAGTTTGACTAGGAGTAGATGTATTCAACTTTACACAGTCAGGCTGAGAGCGTCTTTGGAGTACAGTGGCTGGCACTGAAACTACCTACCAGCTTGATTAAAAGTTTTTCAGTCAAAGTCTCCATAAATCACTCATGCAAAGATTTGCAGATATTTGTGTCTAAAGTACAGAAACACCATAAATACAAATGAAAACTGCATGAAGAAACTGTACAGAATTAATATTTACTGATATGAAACATCTACATTGAGTGGCATCAGCAAGGCAATAGAATAGAAAGTCTTGGGTGCCAAATGTCCCCCTTCTGTCCAAAAAATGTTTAACCATAAGCTACTTACAAACCTAAACACTCTTTGGAGAGCCCAACACTTGGCAACCAGCCTAAGGCATCCATGTGCTTTACAGAACTGAATTAATTCTAACTTAGAAATTTGAGAAGAGTCTCACACTGGCTACATAGTCCTCCCTATTCTCCAACTCTGCACAATGCCAGACACAGAGGATTTCTCAAAGCCCCACATTGAGAATATTGTACATCTGTAATGACTGAGCACAAAGCAATTTTATCCCTGGTTAATGTGTTAAAAGATAAAACTACTACTAACAACTATAGGTAAGATACTCAAGGAATACATTTTATGAAATGATGTAAATTATGACACTCAAAAACAAAATATATGTGGGGGAGTAAAAGTTTGGAACTGTTCTATGTAATAAATTTGTTCTTTTTGGCTTGATATAGGTTGTTATAAGATGTTCCATTTAAGCCTCATGATTAAAACCCAGCAAAAATCTACAGCAAAACAAAACAGAAATAGAAAGCATTTGAAGTATACCAACACAGAAAATCAACCCACAAAGGAAGACAGCAGGAAAGAGTACAGTGTCAAAACAATTAGAAAACAAGTAACAAAATGACAGTAGTAAGTTCTTACCTATCAATAATTACCTTGAATGTAAATGTGTTAAATTCTCCAATAAAAAGTCAGAATAACCAAATGGATAAAAATAAAACAATATAACACAACTATCATCTTAGTCAACTTCAAGGACATTAATTTAATCAGTATGTTCTTTAATCATTTAACTAACGTACTATTTGGTAGGTTATGGGTGTTTACTTTGTAATTAATGACATTTTGGGGGAGATAATTTCAGACTTTGCAACTCCTCTTTCTTATTAAAAATTTGCCCATTGCCTGTAGCAGTCATTGATGATTCTTTCCTGGATCTATCACTACTATGGCAAACATCATGTGGTAAATTTCTACTGCCAGAACTCATATGACATTTACTAATTAGAATTCTGTTTCTAGGGGCTGGGGATTTAGCTCAGTGGCAAAGTGCCTGCCTGGCAAGTGCAAGGTCATGAGTTCGATTTCCAGTACCAGAAAAAAAACCCAAAAAATAAATAAATAAATAAATAATAAATAAAAAAAAAAGAATTCTGTTTCTAAAGTACGCCAACTATTTAACACTCATTTATTTTTTGTCTGTATGGATTTTGGGACTCTTTATTCAGGAGATCATCTTTTACTACCACTATTTTAATTTGAGATTGTCCCAGAATCTAAAGCATGGATGCCTCATTCTTTTCAATATAACTATCCCTTCTTTTTGGGATGGAAATGTTTACCAAGTGCTATTGTATGTTGCAAGTACTTAACTTTCTTTTAGATTTCCATAGGGGCTCCCAGCTAAGCATTTGCCTTGAGTCTCAGATTGTTGTGGTTTACGTCTACAATGTCATCCAGAATCCTCAGGTATTTAAAGGTGGGGCATTTGGGAGGTGACTGGATCATGAGAAAGTTATACTCAACAGTGAACTGATCTATTGCTGAGTTCATAGTTAAACGTGGTGTTAGGAGATAGAGGCTGGTTGGAAGATGTTCATCACTGGGGGCATAGTCCTCCACAGATTCTGTCTCTGCTTCCTGCCTGCAGTGAAGTGAACAGCTACCCTCTGCCATGCTTTCCACCATGGTCATTCTGTCTTTAAGCTAACTGACCATAGACTGAAACCCCAAAACCATGAGCCGGATTAATTCTGTCTTCTTTTAAGTTGTGGGTATCAGCATTTTGTTCTAGCAAAAGAAAGCTGACTAATATAGTGATGTACTTTTATTTGGCATCATTTAGTCAAAACTGGATACTAAATATTTTACATAAAAAATACTTAAGTTTATGTCATGAATGGCAAATGGCTAGAATTGCAAGGCCATATCATTAGGGAAGCATTTCACTGTACTCTTTTTGGCACTGAGGGGGAACTACTTTGTTCATTCATTGATTTAAAAATATTTATTATGTCTACATCGTTCTGAGTACTGTTTGAAAGTGTAGGAATGCAACAAAGAAGTAAACCAAGGCTTAGCCATCATTATAACATGAATACAGGTAACGGTGTAATGAATTTTGTTCATAGTGGCTTGTGAGAGCCTGTAGTATACATTCCATCCAATGATGTTATATTAGGTGCTTAAAATTTACCAAAATAGAAACACATCATGAAAATTGGCAAATGTGACAAGTGAGGGATATTGCCTTTTATCTTTCCATTTAAAAAATTGGTTATTCAATATTTAACAGTATGCCAGTGGATCAAACCAATAAACACCATGAGAACAAGAATGTAGTTCAAAATAGGGGTGAGTTAGAGGATAAGGAAGAAAAAGAAATAAGAACAAAAGAAAAGTGTAGTAAATAAGATAATGTAAAATGGAGAGACAGGATAATATAAAATTATAAATATATCTGCACAGAAGACAGAGTCTGACTAATCTCCACAAAAAGAAATAAGCCTATTAATCCAATGGCCCTTATTTCTCTAGATGTTAAATGAACTATTTACAGGCTGCTTCTTTAATTTTTCAGTGTTAATAAAACTTTTTTCATATCAATTTTCTAATTTTTACATTTAAGTTCATTAACTTTATTATGATGATAAAATTATGTGCAAAATCTTTAATTGTTTGGTCAGTCCTTCATTCTTACATCTGGTGATCTGATAACAATATGTAATATAACAACCATTGTTAACTTCCTATCATTTTGTTTTGAAATTGTGTATCATTTTTATTGTTTTTGTGTTGTTTTCTTATTTTATTGTTGTTATTTTGTTTTCTTTTCTTTTTGAAATAAAAAAAGCCCCAAAACCCCCAAAGTTGGCAGTTAAATAACTTTAAGCATAAGATTTTACAAAAGTATAAGATGAATTTGGAATATACTTTATTGAAATAAATATATATGTAAATGAAGATATATAAACAAGTATATTCAGTATAACATTACACAAAAAGCTTACAAATTTTCTTGGTACAAAATTTAGTCAAAATAGTACACTGGCATGTAATATATAAGTGATTTCAAGACAATAAAGAAAGCCAGTAGATGAA